AGTTTGCCTCTGGAAACCCTATGAACCTGGAGAGAGGATGAAAGGCACCCAAGCGTCGAGGACTCTCCTTCATAGGGTCGCTATGAGTCGCCTGCGAATCGACGGCACTTAACAACAACTGCTCAATCACTAAAAGTCATTTTGAAAAATTCCCCAACAAAAATTCATAAATACCAGAATCCAGAGGCCACGGTATACAAGTTACTCTTTTCCAGAGCAATGCAATCTACTTTTCCATTAGTGTTTTCACCAAGAATCTATTCTGCTTAAAATGTCCTTCCAATGCTTGCTGTCACTTAGATAAACTGTTTCTTTGCAAAGGGACATCAAGCTAGGAAAGGTGGAAGGTCAGCGGAAGGAAGACCCTCGACAGATGGAACGACACAGCGACTGCAACAATGGGCTCAGATACGTGAGAGGTGACGAAGATGGCACAGACAGGACAATGTTCAGATCTGCTCTTCACAGGGTCACTATGAGTCATAGTCGGCTCAATGGTACCTAACAACTACAGGAATATAACACATGTCATTGTTCGTTGGTTTTTGTTGTTATGTGCTGTCAAGATGCCTATGACTCATAGCAACCCTGTGTACGACAGCTCTGAAGCCTGCCCTGTTCCGAGCTAGTCTCACTGACTCCAACAGACCTACCCTCATTGTCCCAGTTACTGTATTAATCCATCTCATCTGGGGTCTTCTAATCCTGAGCTGTCCCTCCACCCTTTCAAGCATTATGTCCTTCTCCAACGATTGCTCCCTCCTGGTCACATGCTCAAAGTATATGAGATGGAGCTTCAATATCCTAGGCTTGAAGGAGAAACTTGGTTTCACCCTCTCCAAGACAGACCTATTCGTTTTCTTGGCAGTCCATGATATGTTCACAACTCTTTTCCAGCACAACTCAAAGGCATCAATTCTCCTTCTGGCATCCTTAGTTCTTATCCAGCTTTCTGATGCATAGAAGGTAACTGCGAAGACCATGGCCTAGATCAGGCATACCTTAGTTTCTAGAGTGACACTGGTGCTTCTCAGTACTCTGGAGAGGTCCCTGACAGCAGATTTTCCCAGTGCAATTAATCTTTTTGATTTTCTGACTGCTGGTATGAAGAATGTTCACTGTGGAGTTGAGCAAGCTGTAATTTTTAACAATCTCAATCTCTTCTCCATCTATCATGGAGAAGAGATTGGCCCAGTGTTAAGAATCTTTGTCTTCTTGATGTTGAGCTTCAATCCATATTGAAGCCTGCAATCCTTGATCTTCTGCAGCAAGCACTTCAGGTCCTCCTCAGTTTCAATATTTCATTTGGCTAATAATATTTAAGTCAAGCAAGCTGTAACCTATTCAACTTTGACTTTTAAAAAACCTGTCCATTATAAAATACCTAAATACATTTACGGTTAATTTGACAATCTTGACATTAAAGAGAGAAGATAATTGTTTCTGTAAATTAGTTTAGTATGAACACACTTGAAAGACTGCTAAAAAGAAAAATGGAACTATTATTTTTACTGTACCTTAGGTGATAAGCAGGAAATGTTATTTTATCCAACACACCTTATTAAGAATTCTGCTAGAAAACAGTGAAGGTGCCTTCTCACGATGGGCATGAAAATTGAGAGCCATGAGAGCATCAGGTCCAATAGAAAAATAGTTGTTCATTGTGAACTCCTGTGAAAAAGAGGGAGAATAAGCGAAAGACTGTGCTTCAGTCTGAGACTGTATCATAAATGAAATATGTAAAACTTACTACTCTTTTTTAGGAAAATGGAATACACTCTGCATTCATTTTTTTTTTATAAAACTATTTTCTACTGTGCAGGAAGACTGCCAGAAATAAACCTTCAGATCAAATGCTAATGACTTTCGATAAAAATGTCACTTGGCATCTCTGTTTAAAATGGCTACATCTCAGGCACTGTATCTAGAACAGTTCTAAGATCACAGATGTTATAAGGCTTTCCACTCTTGTGATCCATTATATCTGCTTTTCACATTTCTTACAATTCTAAGGCTCTCTATCTGTTCTAACCCAGGCTACCACTTACTACTACTATTCTAAAGCTGAGCAACTGAAAAGGGCCAACCTTTCACTCGATCTGTTTCCACCACCTGTTTTTAGCTGGCCTGGTATTCTAGAATCTCTCTAGTCCCACACCAAATCTGTGATTTTCTGCCTGAAGATGGGAATGGGGGAGGTAGCTTGAGCCCAAGGCTTCTTGGAGGACATGTTTGCATTTTCTGTCCCACCTGGCCCCCCTTCAGTTACTTGGTGACTCTAACTCCAAAGCCTTTGGTGGCCTCGGCCACCTAAGGGGGTTTCCACCTGACTTTTCTGCACGGCTCGTGTCCAGCATTTTAGCTTTCTTCTGGATGCCTTGTTATCACTCCTTGTTTTCTATTTTGCAAATGGTTTTGGTCTCCCTTGCCTAACCACTTCATCTTATGTTCCATTCTTTGTAAGGGTTTATACATTTTACAAATATCCTCATCACCATGTTGGAGGGAACACGGTGTTGGGAGGGTGAGGCAGCAGGGAAAAGTGTAGTTTTCAAGTGCTCTCCTGATGCACTTTTCTTCAGTCTTTTTATGCTGATTGTTCATCATTTACCTTCTATAACCATCTTTTTGGAAATGGTTTTTCTTCTCTCACTACACCCTCAGTCTCCGTTAGGGGTCTCTCTTCGCAAGGCTACCCCCTGAACTGTGTCATTAAGGTCCAGGTCTTGGTCCTCTTTTCTTCTCTACACTCACTCATCCATTCTCAGAATTTAAACCATCACTTGCAGGGTGGCCATTTGAGCAGCTATGTTCTTGCTCCCAAGTTTATCAGTAAGATAAAATTTTTAACTTCTTCAATTCTTCAAAGTTGTGATGCCCAAAACGAAATAATTTTCTAATGTCGTGACCTTCTGCTCAGTCATTAAAGACTAGGAACCTGATAAGAGTGTGTGTTTTCTTTCTTCCCCTTTGTACAATCATTGGCTAAATCTTGGTCAACTCTACCTCTAAAATGTCTTTGAACAACCCTCATCCTAAGAGTCTCCTTATTTGCCCTCACTTGGGCCTCTGAGCTACTTCCATGGGATTCCAGAGTATCCTTCTAAGTCACACATTAGCCAGGACCTCAGTAATTGCTAACCATGCTTTGTACTTGCTCATCTCCATTTCTTCTCTATTCCTTTTCTTGTTATCTCCATTTTATTTCCCTTTTAAAGACTGACTCACTTCTGTTCCTATGAAATGCACCCAGTCTGATTTCCAGGGAAGAACTAAGCCTGCCTGCATCCTTCCACAGCACTTTTTAAATCCAATTTGTATGCTCTGTGCATGGCCCACTCACAGATAAGCATGATCTCTGGATATCACCACACCGCTGGATGTTGTGTTTTTTAATTATGATTTGAATGAAAGTTTACAATACCAAGTGGTCTTCTATTCAATCATTCATATACACAGTTTTAGGACATTAAACTATACAAAATGTAACTGCATTTTATTCCCACTTTCTCCCTTCTATTCTTATTTCCATTAATCCTTCTATTGTACCACTTTCCTTTTTTAAAAAATTATATCACTTTCTGCCCTCTGAGCTTTGTCACTGGGCAAACGTGCCCCTTTTTCTTTTGATTTTCTATGTGTGATTATTTTAAGGAGTGCCTTCTTGGTGTCAATGTTTCTTTAATAAACCTCTCCTTCGTTTGGCTGCAAGCTGATGCATGGAGGAGGTATTTGGTGACAGGGTGAAAGAGTCATTAACGATCTGCAGTCTTGGAGGTTCCACCAGCCTGGAGTGGATGTTTCTGAGTTTTTATCCGTATTTCTTGCCCACTCTATCCAGGACCTTCTCCTGTGATCCCTCTCAGAGTGAGTAGCAGCAGGGGGCTGGGCACCATCTAGTTCTTGTCTCAATGTTGTGGAGGGTGAGGTGTGTGGGCTCTTCAGCCCTTTGGATTAACTATTTCTCTGCATCTTTGTTGTTTGTTCCCTCCCCCACTTCTTTGTTCAATACAGGAAGAGAACAATGGTTGCACCTTAAATGGCTGCATTCAAGTTTTTAAGACTCCCATCTATTCACATCAAAGTAGGATGCAGAGCATTGTCTCTGTGAACTGTATCAAATGGCCTTGATGTCCCCTAAGACCACATTGCCCTGAGGTCGCAAGTCCGGCAATGCCCTCGCTTAGGGTGTTTGGGATGATTAAGAAAATGACCTAACTCTGCCCCTGCTGCATATCTTATACCATGAAGACACTCTATGAATGTGTTGTCTATAGAAGCAATTCATGCCTGAAAGCACTTAAACATACCTTGGCTTTTCGTAAATTGTAGTATCCTTTGTTGGTTACCTGAACTTTCCATCTAAAACACAGAAGTTGAAGAAAAGATGAGCACCTTTTTTTAACCAAATAAATTGTATTCTGTATGTCTTATAGATGAGGACTTTCAATTAAAATGGCATTGAAAAAATAACCACATGTAAGTGAATTAAGTAAATTCTGGGATATGCACCCCAAACTATGACTTATGACTTGTGACCTTGGCCCTTATACAACAATAAAACACTTGGATCTAAGGGTATAACTAATATTTTACATTTAAATTATCTTTTAACTTTATAACTACACAAGTCTTTGCTTTCAAACCAAATAATATCCCAAAGCTAAACACATAGACTTTTTAAGGAGGCATAGCTTACCGATCTAATTTAATTCCATCTGCTTCCATTACATTTCTTAAGACTTGTGCAACTGGGATTTCTCCAGCATAACCCGTACCCCAGCCCAGTGTATTAGACAGATCGTTGCCTGTTCCCAGAGGCAAGACTGCTACTTGTGGGATGTATTTTTCTTGTCCCTAGAATATTATTAAAGATGTATTTTAGAATTTTCTCTTTAGACTATTAATAATCTGAAGAGATATGTAAATATATGTATTTATGAGTTATGCAAAGAGCTAAAAAAAATTAAAGACCAGAGCAACAGATACAAATACAATAACTCATAGCTCATTTTGTTAAAGACCATATCAACTCAGTCATACATGAATCATTCTTAGTTAATAGAAATTGGCAATGTTTCCTAGTATTTCTCTATAAAATAAAAAAGCTAAAAATACTATAAAGTAATAATGCAAGTCCTTCTGTGAAAGGCAATTAGTTCTTAAAGAGTGCTACCTTAATCTTCATTTCATCCACGGCATCCAGGACCCAGCCCACAGTCCCATCTCCACCACAAACAAGCACTCGGGCTGAGTAATGGGGGAGAAGAGTACATAGCTGGAGGGCTTTGGCAGGAGGAGTTTTTGTCACATCAAAAACCTAGAAATGAAAGGAAAAAAATTTAATACTATCCTTCCCCCTGAGGATGATTGTTCTTTGAATAAGTGAAGATAAAAATCAATTATGGCTACTCTGTACTCATCTGTAACAATGTGCCAGGCTTCTATATCTATTTATTGTGGTTGGCCATCCCCAAACTTGGTCCATCCCCAAATTTATTTACACAGTAGGAGTTGCCCTCATTCTACAATCAGGACGCTGACAAATACCAGGTTAAATAACTTGCCTGGTGATCAAGTGCTAAAACAAATTCAAACCTATAATGTACCTATATAACCACACTGCTCCCACCTTCCTGCTCACACCAAACCCATGTGCTAAATTCACCTCTAACTAGAGTTTTGTATTTTATACTTGTTTCCAAACTATTGATTCAACTTTCTAAAAAATACTTTTGCAATATGCATAAGCGTACAGAAACAATAAAGGATACCTGATAATAACTCAGTCTGAAATCAACTCTAGGGAAATATTTCAGAAGACAGAACTCCCTGTGTACAAGTGTCCACAGTGAAATAGTTTTAACAGTACAATCTTAGAAATAATATCAACTTCCAAAGCACAGGCCTCAATGCATAAAATTCTGATATAGTCACGAAATTATTTTAGCTGTTAAATAAGTAATTATGAAAACATGCAATATGGAAAAATGTCTATATAATTAAGTAAAAAATTTGCTAATTTATATCTAGATTATTGTCATAGCAATGTTAATATGTGAATTGTGGGTCAATTACAAAAAGAACAAGAATGAAAATCATGTATACATTCTTTGGGCAAACTGTGGGTTTTATTTTTTCCCTTTTATTATACACATAATATCCTTACTCTGTATAATGTTAAAAGTGCACAAGGAATGCAAAATGGAAGAAAAAAGCTATTGCATTTCTATTTGATTTTCCAAAGTACAAGCTGCCACCATTACATGACATTAACTTAATGTCAATGGTGTAGTCTCTTCCATTGATTGTTTTTTTCAAAATGTGGTTAAGAAAACACAACAAACAACAAACCAACCCTCCAAAAACATGGTTAATCTTTTTTATTTTTTAAAAGAAATGCTCTTAATGTGCTTTAGGTGGAAGTTTACACAGAAAATGAATCTCTTAATCAACAGTTTATACACATTATATCAACAGTTTACACAGAGTGGCTGCCATCCATCCCTGCAATGTGTCTGCACTGGATTTCTTCCCTGGGTTCCCTATTTCTGTCTATCTGATCTCCTTTCCCTTCTATATTCTCATCTTTGGTTTTGGGTGAAATGTTGTCCTGTTCTGTTCTCCCGTAGCTGACGGCTTTACTTTTTTTCATTCCCTCTAACTGGGAACTTATATTGTGAACTTGGTCAGAGTGGCTGGTAGTGATAGCCAGGCACCATCTAGTTCTTCTGGCCTGTTCTAGGTGATGCTGTGGTTCACTAGTCTTTTAGGTTCATTGCTGCCTCAAATATTTAGTTTTGTTCTCCTTTGCTTCAGGTAAGAAGAGACAAAGACTGCTTCTTAGATGGCCACTTTTGAGTTTTTAAGGCCTCAAACGTTACTTATCAGACTAGGCTGCGGGACATTATCTTTGTGAACTATATTTTGTTAACTGACATAGACTCACTGAGACTATAGTCCTTAGAACATTTCCAGGCCACTGGTTGAGCCCTGATGTGTAGTAACACATGTATGCTAGTGTATTCTTGAAGACTTCCCTCACCTATTAGCATAGCCACCTGTGGAACTACTTACAAATGATTGCTAATTATTAGTGTTGCTGAAGGATTGTATTTACTGTTACAGAATTTACTGTAGTTGTTACTGCTAGATGCTTTCAAGCTGACTCACAGTGACCCTATGAACACAGTTCTGAACCTTATTCTATCATGTGACATCCTCATCAACTCTGACACACTCAGGCCTACTTCTGTTGTCACCACATTCTTGAGGGTCTTTCTCTCTTTCATTGACCCGCTAACTCACCCAAGAATAGCGTCCTTTTCTAAGGAATGCCCCATCTCCTAGTAATATGTTGTTGCTGCTCTTTATATAAATGGGATCTTACAAATTGTGAGCTCTTGTTTCTAGCTTCCTTCACTCACATATTTTTTGAGGTATGTCATCTATATTATCAGTGCTTTGTTCCTTTTTATGCAGATGTAACACATTTTACTTACTCACGAGCTTATGGACATTTGGATTATTTTCATCTTTTGGCTACTCTGACTAGCGTGAGCATAAACTTAGTATTTTTACTTCTTTCAACAGATACCTAGAAGTGTGATTCCTGGGTTATATGATACATTTATAGTTAACTTTTTAAGAAAATGCCCAATTGTTTTTCAATAAGCTAACACATATACCCTCATCAGCAATATTTTTTCTTTACATTCTTATTTATAGTAATTCTTGAGTAATTATACACCAATATATTTTAGAAATAATGCTAAGCTAAATATGAAAAGATTAGTATGGGAAGGAAGATTTTGTCATTAGTTACCTGGACTGGATTTAATAGGATCCTAAATTCTCCCAACAGTCCTTCTCCCATGTTAGTTCCACTACGGGAGTTGGCCAAGACTATCAACGGAGTCCACTGCTTCCCAAACTTGGAGGCTAGCTAGAAAAATGTAAAGTGAGGTGAAAGGGATTAATATCACAGAGATAAGGGACACCAAGCATAAGCAAAAGAATAAAAAAATCAAGGAATCTCGAGAATGTACAAGGACCTCTGAGAGAATGAATGTACATGGACCTCAGCAGTAAGTGAATCTAAATTTCAACTTAATATGTAATTCTTTTACATTTCTTTAGTCAGTCACCAGTGTATTCTCCAATACATTTGAAGGAACTCACTTAACAAGGCATCTTTGTTCCACTGCTGAGTCAGAACATTTTCCATAAGCCAAGATGAAAAAATCTTTCAATAATTTTCATTTGTTGTTAAAATTTTGCTTCCTGAATAATAAGAAATAGTTTCATGGTTTTTTTCATACTGTAATTGCTGAGATCAAACATCTGAGCACTAAACTTTTCCCTCCTCTTCTTGTCTCTTGGGTTCTACATTTCAAGTTCTTTTAACTGTGTATAGAATGGAGATTGGTTTTGTCTGACTGCCTACCTCAGGTGCCCTCTTCTGGAGGTATTCTAGTGTGCAGGAAGCCCTGAATGTCACAGTGGTTAAGTCCTCAGCTGTTATTTTAAGGTTAGCATTTTGGGCCCACTAGCCCTATGCAAGAGAAACATGAGGCAGTGTGCCCTGGTCAAGCTCTACACTCTTGGAAACCCTATGGGGCAGGTCTCTGTGACAGGATCACAGTGAGCAATAGGCGGGATGGCAGGAAGTATTTCAGTGTTTTCATTTGAAAATTTGTTTTTTTAAACTGGATACTCAAGAATACAAATTTAAACACAACTCAAAGTTAAATGAGGTGAATGTTTTTCAGGACTCAATCAATCCTTTCTTCTTTCCTTTCTCTTTGTGGGTATTAATATTAATGAGACTATTTTACAAAGTGAGTTTTATCCCTTGTCATATCAGACTGCATTCAGACACTTGAGTTGTAATCCAAGAGCTATATATTGCAATATTAGATGTAAATTAAAACAATTTACATGCCTTGATTCTCTGAAGTGATTTGGAAACCACCAACCCAACATCATTACTATCCCCTTAGACACCAAAGAACTAAAGAGTCAAATTTTGTATATGGCTTACATAATTATATTTGTTTTCCTCCTTGGCCCTGGAATTTTATCCCAGTTTATTACTAACCCTGATTCTTCTCTCATTCACTTAAACAAAGACAACACTCCTTCCTCCCTTACTGATTTAATAAATATTTAAAAAATTAATTATGTACGAAAAATTCTAATTACCATTTCATAATCTGTTTTTTTGTCTTTACGCATTTGATTGATGGAGGTTAAATAACTTGGTGGGATGATGATGTTTCGGAATTCTCCAAAATCACACTTTTCATTCTTTAAGCTATTTTTCATGCATTCATCATGTACTGTTTTCTGACACCAAATACACCTGTGAGAAGGAAGAAATAAAGACATTAAATTATAACCACTGTTGTGCAAAGCTTCATTTAAACAACAACAACAACCACCCATCAACTTTCTCACTGAAACTAAAATATCAGAAGCGATACATAGCTGACCCTCCAGAGGTTTTCAGAGGCTGTAAATCACATGGGAGGAGTTGGCCTAGCTTTCTCCAGTGGAGCCACGACAGAAGTGTCACTTCTTGGTGAGCAGCACAACTCCCTATCCACTAGGCCACCAAAGCTCCTTACTTTATCTGAGTATAAAAGTTAGAAAAAATATGTGTAAAAAATCTGACCATATATGCCAGTTTTAATCTAACAGTGGTTCTTAAACTGTTGCCTGGGGACCAGTGGAGGTCTTCAGGATCCTTCCAAGGGATTCTTGAGTTCATCCTCACACTTTCCAAAGTTCATGATGAAATTTTCCAGAAGCCACAGAATGTTACAACAGGCCAAATGCAGAAGCAGGTGATTTTTGGGATTGCAGTGCAGCTTCTTGCCACTAGGCCACCAGAGGCTCTAGAAGCAGATGGTTTTAAAAGGACCTAAGAGCATAACCCACAGGGAGAAGTGCTGCTAACCCAAAGGTTACGACTCTCTGGGTTCCTTGTGACTCAATGGCAGTGAGTTTGAATTTATTTCTATGCCAAAGAATTGCTTTTTAAAAATGTGAAACAATATAATTTTTTGTCACTAAATTTTCAAAATTATGTGACAGATTTTGTCATATAAAAAGTATTTTTAAATTTTCTTAGTTTTAAATTATAACATAGTAAATATCAAACAACATAATTCACTTCAACAAAAGTGGACCAGAACAATCCTTTGACCTCTTCTTCCTTTCCAGCCTGGTCCCGGCACTGTGGCACTTGCCAAGAATGGTGGTGAGAAGAAGAAAGGCTGTTCTGCCACCAACAAAGTGGTGACCAGAGAGGACACCATCAACATTCACAAACGCATCCATGGAGTGGGATTTAAGCAGCATGCTCCTTGGGCACTAAAGGAGATTTGGAAATTTGCCATGAAGGAGATGGGAACACCAGATGTTCGCACTGACACCAGGCTTAACAAAGCTGTCTGGGCTAAAGGAATAAGGAATGTCCCATACCGCATCCAGGTATGGTTGTCCAGAAAACGTAATGAGGATGAAGATTCCCCAAACAAGCTGTATACACTGGTTACCTATGTACCTGTCACCACTTTCAAATATCTATAGACCATCAATGTGAATGAAAACTAACAGCTGATTATCAAATAAAGTTAAAAAACTGCAAAAAAAAAGTGGACTAGAGTATGGTTTATATCTTTATCTGTGTTTTTGTTGAAGTGACTGTGTAAAGCTTAACATGATCACTGCTTAAATGCCCCACTGGCCTGAACCCCACCCACAGATAACATGTTCGTCAACTGCCAGTCAAAACAGAAATAATTTCTGTATCTGCAATTGAAGTACAGTCAGAAAAGCACGTAGCCTTCATGTTTGGACCCATGTGCGAAGGTAGAGGGGATAGTGCTGTACTTCACTCAGAGCAGACAGATCTGACTGTACAGCCAGAAGCAGGCTGAGTAACAGTTACAATTAGAGGAATCAGAAAGGAAGGGGAGATGAGAAATAATCTTTCAACAAAGTCAACGTGTTGCTTTTCTATTTTCTTCTTCTATTTTACGGTTGTCTCTGTCTTGTTGAACATTTAGATCTGTTAAGGAGTTACTGTGACTTAATCAGGAACCCTGGTCAACACTACGAGAATTATCTGTACAATCTGATAAAGAGAAAACTATGCAAAGTATTGCTGACGTAAGTTTGCAACTAAGCCTTAAATTATAATCGGTTGTTTATGCAGGTGAAGTATACTAGCACGTAATGATTTTGTCAACTGACATTAGAAATATTATTAGAAATATTTGTTGCTGCTGAGAATACACACATCAATTCACCAACAGTTTCTACAAGCACAATTTAGTGACATATGACATTCTGTGAATTATGCAACCATTTTCACCCTGCTTTTCAGCACTGTTCCTCCCCTATTAACAGAAATTCTACTCCTTAGGGTTCCCTCTCATCTTTTAAGTTGCTGTTGTCACTTTGATCCTATTTAGTTTTTAAGAAAGTGTAATATTCAAAGCAGACATTTTTACTAGTTAAGCTAAATTAAGATTTCACTTTACTATCTGAAAAGAAATTCAGTGATTTTCAGAATGGCTTCCTACAGGAAGGACACTGGGACTGAAAGCTACAAGAAGAACATTTCTTTTTTCACTCTATGTTCTTTTGTATTGCTTCCATTTATAAAAGTTATATTCTTGAACTACATTTAAAAAACTACACATTTAAAAAACAACTATTGTAAATAAGGTAGTATCAGTGGATATATGAGAAGTTATAAAATACAGAATGACATAAAAAATCATCTCAAGAGACTTAATCCTAACTTGATATATTCAATTTTTTTATATTTATTCAATTTTTAATGCATGCAAGTATTGTTTTGTTGTTTTTTTTCTCCCCAAACTGTAATTTGGGTGAAAGTTTGCAGAGCAAATTAGTTTTCCATTCATGTGTTATTTTTCAAAGACAGGAAAATGATGTCTCTTTTGAACCCTACTGTTTGCTTCACATTGTATTACAACTATTTACCATTAGCCATGAAATAGTGTTTTAAAAGAATGGTTTATAAATGATGTATATTATCATTTATCTACAACCTTAATCTTGTAAAATTTTTAAAAATATTTGTTCCTATAGTTTTATAAGCAATGTAATGCAAAGCCTTACACATAAATGAAATTATTTCCTTAGAAGCTTAGGATCACCTATTGTTAAATAAACTGTGTGAGACAGACAAAAAACCCTAAGTTTAGGATCTACTTGGTCTAAGGAGATGCATTTTCCTAATGTTCTTGACATGCATGTTTTGTTTATTAGCAGAAAACCATGTTGTGTGCCCCTACTGTTCACTTTTGTCTTGATAAGTGTCTGATGATTAGGTGATCACTACGTTGAATATTTTTTCACTTTCTTGGGGCATTCACATCCTATACAGACTTTCAATATGATTGAATGTGTCATAAACTTATCTATGTTATCAACCTTTTTACTATCAAGTATTTGTAAACATTTTTCAGCTTTCTTTTAAATATACTTAGGGTTTTTTTGGTTTGTTATGTCGGAACTTCATTGTGTGGTTTAGATGCTTGAGTCCTCTACGGTTCCCAAAGCAGAGAATGATACACTACAGTACTCTCTCCTTGTAGTTAGGGGCCGTCAAATTGAGTATGATTAACAGCTACTCTATGAATAATAGAGCTCAACACTGGCCTATCCTGTCATCCTCCCTTTCACTGACCCTCCATCTTTAGTCCTTCATAATATGCCTAAAGGAACTCTGGTAGCTCTGTGCTAAGGAATCATGCAAAGCAAAGCTATGTAATTCAAATTCATCAGCTGCTTTGTGGGAGAAGATGGGAAATCTCCTTCCAAGCAATTTATTGCCTCTAAAAACCCGCTGGAGGGTCAGCTATGGGCCGTTCTGACTTGATGGTACACAATTAACATGCTCAGAGTTTGTGAAATGAAGCTTCACTATGCTTGGCTGTAAGGAGCACACTGCCTGCACTTTCTCCAGGACATATCTGACATTCTTTCAGCTGTCCACAGGACATTTGGTACTCTCCTCCAACACCACAACTCAAAGGTGTCAATTCTATCATCCTTATTCATTGTCCAGCTCCCAGATGCACAGAAGGTTATTGGTAAGACTAGGGTCTGAACCAGGCACACCATGGTCTTTCAACTGCTATCATTACTCTTTAGGATTTTGGCGAGTTCCCTGACAGCAGACATTGTCAATGTAATACATCTCCTGATTTCCTGACTGCTGGTACCAAGAGTGTTGATTGTGAGGATTCAAGTATGATGAAATCTTTAACAACTTCAATCTTTTCTCCATCTATCAAGATGTTGCCTGTTGGTCCAAGGTGAAGAGCTTTGTCTTCTTGAGGTTGAGATGCAATCCAGACTGAAGCTGTAGTTTTTGATCTTTTGCAGCAAGAGTTTCAGGCCCTCCTCATTTTGAGCAAGGTTTTGTCAGCTGCATAACACAAGTTGATGAGTCTTCCTTCAATCCGGATGCCACATTCTTCTTCATAAAATGCAGCTTCTTGAAGAATTTGCTCAGCACACAGATTGAACAGGTATGAGGAAAGGATGCAGGCCTGATGCACACTTCATAATAACTGTTGCTGTTAGGTGCCGCTGAGTGTGACTCATAGTGACCGTATGAGCAGCCAACCTAACTCCCCCCATCCTGTGTTATCCTCATCATCGCTGACACATCAGAGCCCTTTTCTCAAGGCATCATGTCACTCTAGATCATCAGATGTCTTCTTCTCCGCTGAACCTCACAATTAAGTGAGTCCTATTTATATCTTTAATTCAATGTTTCTTAACCTTCAGGGGTTGCATATCCCTTTAAGGATCTCATGAAAGTGCCCGGTTTTTCCAGAGCTTATCTGTGATCCTCCAGGTTAAGAACCCCTGCACTAATCCAAGTGGAATTTATTTTGGTGTACAGTGTGAGATGGTGACTTGAACCTTCCCCCACCAAAGAATAATGTTTTCTGTTCCATGATCTGTGAAAGGATAAATATCATTAACTAATTGCTCAAAATTCCATGAAGATTCTGTTAACTAATACGGCTATCATCAAACTTTGCTATATGTAAAGGTAGAGTCAAAATGTTTCCTAAATATAAAATATAATTTCCTTAGAAATACCACAGTCAAAATGGCATGTTATCTTTATTTATTTTGTTAGTATTTAATGGATCTAGATTTCAAAACTTTTAATAGTAAGTTCTTGATAGCTTCAGCAACCTTGTCACTGGGTAATTGGTTATGATTTTCTTCTTCCTGTCACAACTTTTCAAAATAAATTTTTATTCATTCATTAGTGCACATTTTCTTCCTGTGCCCTCCCTC